GGGCAGGAGAATCGTGTGAACCCAGGAGGTGGAGCTTGCAGTGGGCCGAGATTGTGCCACTGCATTCCAGCCTGGGAAATAGAGTGAGACTCTGTCTCAAAAAAAAAAAAAAAAAAAAGAGTTGGAAACAACAGATGCCGGAGAGGATGTGGAGAAATAGGAACTCTTTTACACTGTTGATGGGAGTGTAAATTAGTTCAACCATTGTGGAAGACAGTGTGGCAATTCCTCAAGGATCTAGAACTAGAAATGCCACTTGACCCAGCGATTCCATTACTGGGTATATGCCCAAAGGATTATAAATCATGCTACTATAAAGACACATGCACACATGTGTTTATTATGGTACTGTTCACAATAGCAAAGACTTGGAGCCAACCCAAATGTCCATCAATGATAGACTGGATTAAGAAAATGTGGCACATATACACCATGGAATACTATGCAGCCATAAAAAAGGATGAGTTCATGTCCTTTGCACGGACATGGATGAAGCTGGAAACCATCATTCTCAGCAAACTATCACAAGGCTAGAAAATGAAACACCACATGTTCTCACTCATAGGTGGGAATTGAACAATGAGAACACTTGGACACAGAGTAGGGAACATCACACACTGGGGCCTGTCGGAGGGTGGGGGGCTTGGGGAGGGATAGCATTAGGAGAAATACCTAATGTAAATGACAAGTTGATGGGTGCAGCCCATCAACCAACATGGCACATGTATACCTATGTATCAAACCTGCACATTGTGCACATGCACCCCAGAACTTAAAGTATAATAATAACAATAACAAAAAATATACACTAAAGTAATGTTCTGGGTTAAATTGTGTCCTTCCATCACCCAATTCATCTGTTGAGGTCCTAACCTCTAGTATCTTAGAGTATGACTGTATTTGGAGATAGTGTTTTTAAAGAGGCAATTAAGTTAAAATGAGGTCATCAGGATGAACCCTAATCCAATATGACTGGTGTCCTTATAAGAAGAGAAAATGTGCACACACACGGAGAAAAGGCCCTATGAAAAGCAAGGGAGATGACAGCCATTTACAAGCCAAAGAGGGAAGTGTCAGAAGAAACCAACCCTGCTGACCCTGATCTTGGACTTCTAGCCTCCAGGATGGAGAGACAATGAATTTGTTATTCAACTCACTCAGTATGTGTTACTGTGTTATGGAAGCTCTAGCAAACTAATAGAAGTAGTAATAGCAGCAACATGTGATGATAGAATTACGTAAATTTACTCTTTGATACTCTGCGTTTCCTGACTTCTATAAAATTAACTACAAATTTTGCCACTAAATTTATGTAATGCTATAACTACACTAAACTGAGAGATGGTCAGGATTAATCTAATGAGAAAACAAGAAGTAAAGAAGAAGCAAGTGGGCTAATTAGTTTCCCTGTTTCTCATTGAAGAATATGGAAGTAAAAATCAGATTCACAGTTTAAGTCAAATGAGCTTTAAAATTTTGATCAAAGAAAAATGTTCTGAACAGTTAGTCCTCTGAACCAAGGCTTCTCTCCGTTACCTGGAAGTGGATCCTCAATGTGCTCCATGGCACAGTGCTCCAACAACGATTCTAGGGGCTTCCAAACCCTTGATTTGAGACTCAGAACAAATAGAACATACACATTCCTTAGTATAACTTGGAAACAAATTCCAGATGAGGGCTGCCCCAGTTCAAAAAGAATGATGGACATTAGCTCTGGAAGTTACCCAGCCACTAGAGAATTGGTGGGGTTGACATATTCAACCTCTCACCTCATTAGCAGAGTCAATTTGTTCAAACATCTTCTCCTTTCACTCCCTTGAATAAATGTAATGGTCCAAGAGTAGTCAGGGATGATTAGATAAAATCTGTTGGACCTGGGGACCTTCGTCAACTGGTCCAATCCTCTCATTTTACAAGGGTGACAACTGGGACCCTAAAGCGCTCAGGGTAATGTATATGTGCATGTGTGCCTGCAGAATATTTATAGCAGTCTACCTCAGTCTGAAGTTAGAGATAAAGAATCCTCAGAGACATACCAAGCCTAAAATTTCTCATGCTATGAACAGAACTTTGGATTCTCTTGATAGGCCTTGTTTAATATCTCAGAGGAAAATAAATTTAAGGGATGTTCCAAAATTAATTGCTTATCTTATAAAGTTGGGCTAAGAGTTAAAATCCTATCAGTAGAACATATGGAAGATATAAATAGATTAATAGTTGGAGAAAGCTGTACTATAAATGAAAAGTAACTCAATCTCACTAGCAAATGTTCAATACTTTTGATAAATTATTTTCTTTCTTCAACGTGCATATACTTTCTCTCTTCAACATGCAGGTACTTGTTTTACAGTCCTTTGGAACTGATAATGTAGGGAACGAATTCATTGGAGACCTAAAGGGTTAAATAAACTATAGTGTATTTCCATCATGTGTACTCCAACTCTCAGACCTTAACCATATGCCTATACACTAAGAACATTTTAGGATATAAAATTGGGTAGGATGGTCCTTGCCCTTAAGAAGAGTTCAGTCTGGTAGAGAAATTGGACACATGAGGCATTTTTAAACAAGGGGTCTCAAGGCTGTGATTAGAAAATATTATCCTCGTATTCCCAATTACCTGTTCTAATTTGCTCTTCAAGTTTATATTCAAGGGGAAAAAAAGTTCTTTCTGACCTTTGGAAGAAATCTAGGACACGTCTCATGATCTTTCTGGTAAATTCCAAATAATGTCTTCCGGTCACTTCTAGAGACAGACTTGTTTCAGATTTCATTGGAAGATCAAGATTTCCCTTCTACTAGCTTAAGCCTGCTCCAGAGGCACAGGAAACTTCTCCATGCCCCTGCCCTGAAGCTCTGCCCCTCTTATTCCACTCACCCGACTGCATCTGGTTCCTCTAAGGCTGGACCCCAAGGTGAAGGTGAGGGCTGGAGTGCTAAGAGGCAGGAAAGGGCTTGGCTGGCTTTCAGGTAATCTCATGTTGGCTTTCTTGGGCCAGGGCAAGTGTTTGGCTGACAGTCTGCCACATGGGTTATTTGGAGGCTCCCAGGAGGAATGCAAAGCACCCTGCTCTGACATGAGTGATGTGTTTTCTTTCAAGTGGCTGCTTGTATCTCCTACCTCCAACCCTGGCAATTGAATGGTCCATCTCTCAGTTAGAATAACTGCCCCTCCATAGAGTCCTTTTGGGCGGAATTTGAAATGGCTCCAAACTGGTATGGTCTCTCTCTCTCTTTCTATCTCTCTGCAACTCCCTCTGTCTCAGACCAAAATAAACCTACAACACTGAACTGTCAAGGCAATGCAGCTGGCTCCCAATGCAGCTGGTTGAGCTCTCTTTACTCTACTGTCTTTGGCTAATTGTCACATCTTCTGGCCCTTAAATCCTTCCGGAGTATTTTGCTGCTCTGTCCCCTGAACTGCAAAAGGCATAGATCAAACTCTCTTAGCTCATCAAAGCCCTGATTGCTAGGCTCGAGGAATGGGAAAGAACCCTCTACCTCTCTTCTATGTGGTAGGAAAGACCCACAGCATACTAATAACACTCTCAAAAGAAATTCTTTTTCCTAGATTCCAATTCATTGACTGAATTCTTAACCATCACTAAAATGGCCTGGATATGGCCAGGAGCTAAAGCCTGTTTCTTCTCTACAAGCTTTGTATAGGCATATAGCACCTCACTTTGGACTGTGGGATTGGTTGCTTTTTGGTCCTTGGCAAAAACTAAGGCTGAGTCCCATCTTGTAATACAAGCAAATATGTCATTAATGTGACAAGTGAATGCTAGGACAGAGACATGCAAAAGCTTTTGTAGCAAATACTACTAGTCCGTACTAGGAAAGGGAGGTGTTAGTAAAAGTTTCCCATAAAGCTGGCACCTGAGCTGAGTTCCAAGCCATAAGAGTTGGACAAGAGGAAAAAGGACATTTCATATGAGTTTGTTTGCAATTGCAGGGTCCATTTGGATCACTTGTGGCTGTTTGCTATAGTAGATAGTGTTGTTCTCATACTCTGCATTTTTACCAAACAAAACACGAGCATTTAATACTGTGAAGTATTCTTGCCAAGAAAAGTTGAACCTAGAGTCTGTAGAGCAAGCTTTTATTAACAGAAGATACGATGATAGGAGAACAAGTAAATGATATCAGTACAAGGAAGCAAACAGGCAAATTCAGAATGGGGGACATTCTGCAGAACTGACTTATTTACTGTAAGATGACAATGGCCAGAGAAAAAGTTGGGAAAGGGGACAAATTCATGTAAGAGACACAGCAATCCAATGTAGATGTATGGACTTTGTAGATGATGCCAAAGAATTATTAATGATTTTATTAAGTACAACCTGGCATTCTGGTCAAGAACATATTCTTTTTTTTTTTTTTTTTGAGACGGAATCTCGCTCTGTCGCCCAGGCTGGAGTGCAGTGGCCGGATCTCGGCTCACTGCAAGCTCCGCCTCCTGAGTTCAGGCCATTCTCCTACCTCAGCCTCCGGAGTAGCTGGGACTACAGGCGCCCGCCACCTCGCCCGGCTAGTTTTTTGTATTTTTCAGTAGAGACGGGGTTTCACCGGGTTTGCCAAGAACATATTCTTTAAGAGCCACATACTGAATTACGAAATGATGAAATGACACAATGCCTGGTGTTTACTTTGAAATACTTTAACAAAGAAAAGACAAAAAGGACAGTTAAGCCAGCAGAGAAAATCTCTGGTAATTGTTGAATCTGGATAAGGGGTAAATGAGACTCATTATTTTAATTTTGCTAATACTTAAACATTTTAATAACTTTTTTCAAAGTTTCTTTCTTGCTTGTGTACGATGCCCTTGTTGGTGGGATGCTTTCCTCCTTGTGATTCTCCAGGGACCCTGATCCTCTTATCTTGTTGTTCTGTTATGCCCTAGGGCCTCTGAGTTCTCTGCATCCAGATGGGCAGTAGGAAGGAGAGAACCCTGACAGGTACACCCATTCTTAAGACCAGTACAGAAGCGACATACTTACTTCCGCTGACATCTGTGAGCAAAGGTAATCCCATGGCTTCATCTAGATTAAGGGTAGGCACTGGCTATAGGGCAGCTTCCAGCAATTACTCTGTGAAAGTGAAGCAAAGCTCTTCAGTGGATGGCTTACTGCCTCTATCACATGCAAAGACAGGGATTCTGTTAGCAGGTGGGATGGGCCTCAACAATCTGCTTCTTCCACAACTCCCGCAGGGGACTCTGATACAGGGTATGGTGGTACCTTCTGTTTATCTGCCTGAGCCACACTAGCCCTTCCCTACCCTGCCCATGCCCTGGGACTGACCTGCTTGGTCTGCATTATGAACTCCCATGACCAGTGGCTTCTGGTGGGGTTCAGCCAATGGAGAGCATCCACAGAGACTGGAAGGGAGGAGAGTTAAGAGGGAAAGAAGCCTGAGTTCCCAACGCCCCCAGCACCACATCCTATTATATCACCTTGTGGCGGCTTTACTCCTCTGAGGTTCACAGCTCATTCTGCTGGCTCTCTCCACAGCCCTTTGTGTCTTGAGGTTCTGATAACTGCTCCCTCCCCTCACCCCTTCAATACCAATGCCTCATCAGTATACTGGTTTTTATAAAATTTATTTCAAATGTATTTATCATTATTATTTCTAGAGATGGGGGTCTCACCATGTTGGCCAGGCTGGTCTCAAACTCCTGGGCTCAAGTGATCCACCTTCTTGGCCTCCCAGAGTGCTGGGATTATAGGCATGAGCCACCACACCTGGCCTACAATACTGCTTTATCCATTGTGGCTTCTCTAAACCTGCCCACACCCTCACAAAGAGTACTTTTATTGCATTCTCCTCAAATTCCCATCTGTTTCTGCTGGAACCCTGGCTGATACACAAGGGTCCTTGGACAACATTAAGAAGCACTATCTAGGCAGAATATGACACAGCCACTGAGGGACTATGAATGACACATTTGAACTACAGGCATTTAATGCAGCTAGAGCAAATTGGAGGGGAGCTGGAATAGTGAAGTGGCAGGACCTGCAATATGAAAAGACCTATCTGCCATGCTAGATCATCTGTCAGCAGCAGAAAGATTAATCAGAGACTCTGCAGTACCAGGTGAGTTTCAACCTGGAGACAGTAAATAGTGAGAACAGAGACGGAGAAAATTAAGATCCTGTTGTTGGAACCCACTCAGTGTTACTAGTGCTGCACTTGTGGACTAATGAAGCCATAGCATAGGAAAATAATGCCTTTGAAGAGAAAAACCAATGAGGGAGTTAAAGGAAGATTCTGATTTAGAAGAAAAGAACTACCAGGATTATCGTGTCCCTTCTGCCACACTTCATTACTGTGTTTACCATAAGAAAGGCTGTGTTCAAACTTTGGAGGTTTCCCCCACCCACACGTGAAGATTGACCATTCTAGGATCATTTATTATAGAAAAGAAAATGGAATTTGTTGTAGAGCCAGCTTTACTAAACTACATTTATTATGTGAAGTGAAAAATATCCCAAACGGGAAAGACTAAAAACTGTAAAGATAAATATTATTTGTTAAGCAGTATTAATGATTTAATGTTGCAGAGGCCCAGTGCTATAGAGACCTCTTATAAAGTATTCTTGAAAATCCCTAATATTTATGCAGAATTGGAATGAATTCAAAACAGAAATTTTATGTCTTCCCTTTTCCCCATTCTCTGCCTAGGAACTGACATTATTCTCTCAAGGTAAAAGAGCTTTGCATTGCTATATATTTACATAATTATGTTCAGGCAGTTGCTTTAGAATATTATTTTGCTCTTTCCTAGTTCTTTCTGCTTAGACTATAATTTTTTTTTTTTTTTTGAGACAGTGTCTCACTCTGTCACCCAGGCTGGAATGGAGTGGCATAGTCTCAGCTTACTGCAACATCTACCTCCCATGCTCAAGCCATCCTCCCACCTCTGCCTCCCAAGTGGCTGGGACCACAGATGTGTGCCACCATTCCCAGCTAATTTTTGTATTTTTTGTAGAGACAAGTTTTGCCATGTTGCCCAGACTGGTCTTGAACTCCTGGGCTCAAACAATCTGCTTGCCTCAGCCTCCCAAAATGCTGGAATTATAGGCGTGAGCCACCACACCCGGCCCATCTTATGATTTTTAAATAGGATTCTGGGAGCTGATATATGAACTTTAGATAACATTTATCGTCAATTTTGGCCCTAATCATAGGGCATTAGAAAATATTCAGACTTCCTTTATTAATAGCATGTTTTGTGATAGGCAAACAGACTTCAGTTTCCCCTATTTCCCTTTGTATTGTGGGTGCCATGAGTTCAATAAAATTTTCTACGTTTCTCAGAATTCAAACAATAAAGGATGCCCCCCTACAACCTTCTAAGTTATTTTGGTACTATTCCGGGGGAGGGGTCATTACCAGCATCACCTTTCATTGAGTAATGGTTGGTATATTTTAAAACATGGTATCTTTCTCATTTGAAGGTATCTTCTACTAGCTTTATTTGGCTATAGTTTGTAGTCAAATAGAAGTATGCTTCTAAAATTCAGGCCATGTTCCAAGTTTGACTTTTAAACTTAGGATTAGAATAAAAATTCAAGTCACTTTCCAGGTTTGCTCACTGCTCCTGGACATGTCAGTCAGTACCTGGCCTACCCACAGTCCACACTGAAGGGGTAGCACTAGGTGACCATGTTTGGCATCACGTGGCCAGGTGACTGGGCACCTGAGAAAAGGGCCATCGATCCAATGCCGGACATCTTTTCATGTCAAGTTCTGTCATAAGCCAGGTCCTCTTCTCAGGAATTTGAACCAGGAATTACCAAGAGGAAGGGGAAAACAGAGGCAGCAGCAGCTGAGAGACCTTGAGGTGGAGTTTCCTGTTACCCATATCACAAACCTACCACCTGAGGCACTTACATCAGTCAGGAGATTCAAAGCAAAACACTTTTTTTGAAAGCAAAAGACTTTTGACATTTGTCATTCTGTGAACTATTCCAGCCATCCCTACTCCCCACAAAAATCACAAGGCAATATTAGTTTGAGTCAGCCGCATCACATTGTCTGACCAATTGTTACCCAACAATGCCCTGTAATTCAAAGAACCTTGTGTTGTATTTTCATCCAAACTTTGGAGTACACTCCAGGTGTTCAAGCTAATTTCTGTGTTTGGATGATCATACCAGCTGGACTTGCTTAGAACCAAGGAATGACCTCAATACATTCTCTCCTATCTCCCAAAGAATGGTGGTCACACATATTCAGATCATTCATTTTGGGAAAGACTCACTGAACCAACGAGCTAACAATGCCCAAGTCTGACACTAGATCAAGTTACTCTGCAAGTACCTTACAGGCTGAGGTTTCCTTGGTAGTATTTTTCTGGCTCCCTGTTGGCCACAGCACATTATTCTAGGCCAGGTGGCCTGAGAAATAGCAAATATTCTTGGAAACAATTAGTCTAAATCCAAATATAGAGGAAATAGCCTATCTCAATATCAGGAGGGGATAACCCTTTTTAATTAAAATCTACCACATGTCACAGGATTGCTGATATTTCAGTAACCAGTGATGTTCCTTACCAAATCTAAGTTTACACTATGATGTTGAAGTTATAATAGTGACCAGATATACAGATTGACAAAGGAACATGAAACAAAAAGTAAAGGAACCATTTGATTGGTTGAATAACAGCTGCTAGACAACAGCTTTGGCCATGGAGGTTGAACATGAATGCAGAACAGAGCTTGACTCCCCTTTCCACCCAAGCACCCTGACCTGACCCCTTCCCCTCTGGCCTCCTCCTTATTCCTCAGCCCAGGAAGGCTCTCTTTTAGTCAGTATATCTTCCTGGTGTATTAACTACACGAGCCTCACCTGCAAAACTCAACAAAGCACAGTCTCATTTACCAGCAAACAGCCAAGTGGCATTCATGGCAGAATTTATATATTAAAAACAATTCACCTCCAGGTAAACTAGCCAACCTAGTGGCTCAAAACATTTGTTGATGGTGCCTTCCAGTCAAGCTTGATAGGCTATCAATCAATGAAACACTTTCACAGCTGTGAGAGGAAGACATTTTCAACATGTTTCCATAAGTGGGCTTTGGGGAAATGAAAATGTAAAGGACCTTTATGTTATCAGTCTTGGAAACTGTGTGCAAATAATTCACACACTTGCCTCGTTTGACTCCTCAATCTTACGACGATAGACACCCAAATAATTTCCTATTTACATACTGTGAGTGCAGCTCAACACCCATTCATATATCTGCAAGGGTGAATCTGTAGCTTTTATTAGGTTATTTTGTGGTTGGTGTTTGGTCATAGCCTTTCTTTTTCAAACCTGTGGCTTAAATATCAATCTAATTCCAGGTTAGAAATGTTTTCTAACAAATGTTACCCCACTGCTTATTTTAATTTTGTAAATAATTCATTATAATCTCTACAGTGAAAAAGGAGCCTTCCCATAGAGATGGAAAATGAGCTGTAATTCAGTGCATTTTGGGAGCAATCATTGCTTAAAAAAAAAAAAAAAAAAACAAAAAACCAACAACTTAAGCTCTGCTATTACAGTTTTACATAGGAAAAAACACAGAATTGAAAATATTATAATTTGCATTTTCTTGTACTCATTATGAGAACACTTGAGACAATATTGAAAAGCTATTTCCTAACAAGGAAAGCAGATAACTTGACCAATGTCAGTACTTGTATTTATCGATGCTTTACAGGCTAATGAATACTGAATTTTCTTAAAAAGTTATTTTTACTGACTAGGCATGGTGGCTTGCACCTGTAATCCCAGCACCTTGGGAGGCTGAGGTGGGCAGATACCTTGAGCCCAGGAGTTCAGGACCAGGCTGGGCAACATAGCAAGACCCCATCTCTATAAAAAATACAAAAATTAGCCAGTGTGGTGGTGTGCACCTGTAGTCCCAGCTACTAGGGAGGCTGAGGTGGGAGGATCACTTGAACCCAGGAAGCAGAAGTTGCAGTGAGCCGAAATTGTGTCACTGTATACCAGCCTGGGTGACAGAGAGATACTGTCTAAAAAAAAAAAGTTATATTTACTGATTGATATAAAATAGTTATGTATTTTGCAAACTTCTTT